AGCCGCCCTTCACAATCGCTAGAACTGTATTTCATCAATGTTTGGATATATATAACGTAAGGAACCAACATTTGATTAAAGTTCTAGACAATTATTTTTACTCGCCAACATGGGCGAGTCAGCTTTAGCTTTCACTCGCCCGGCCCGATATTATTTTTACTCGACAATGGCGAGAGGACGAGTGCCAAGCTCGCACGCTGTTTAAACGCTGCCGGGCAGCGTGCAGAATCGCTAGTGTGTCCTAGGCTTAAGCTAGCTGTGCCTGTCACAGGCCGACACGATAACACGCCAAGCATGCACTGCGGTGTAAATTTGCACTGTGATTGTCTGAAAAAAAATGCTATACAAATTTATCCAATTGCTATGCAAATTTTATTTTGTATAGCACATTTGCTATGCAAATTTTTGGCTGGAAATTGTTCCCTGCCTAATGTTGACGATGAGTTATTAATACACAGACACACATTCGTGCACATACGCACGCACGCATATGAGCGACTTCACTATAAGACTGCTGCTCAACGTAGATGCCAAACGTGGCCTCTAGATGCAGTAGTAGATGCAGGTGACCATTCTGCACAGGTGACCACTCTACACAGGTGACTGCCCTATACCGGTAACCGTTCAATACAGGTGACCACTCTACACAGGTGACCGCCCTATACAGGTAACCGTTCAATACAGGTGACCACTCTACATAGGTGACCGCCCTATACAGGTAACCGTTCAATACAGGTGACCAGTCTACATAGGTGGCCTTTCTGCACAGGTTCTATGCGGGCGCCCACCTCCTTACGAAGGTCGGTCAGCTTGCGGTCCATGTCGATGCGTGTCACCGTCTCGTCCTCGAGATCAGACTCGTACTTCCCGACGACGTCCCTGTGCTCGTCCCGCATCGCAGACACCTGTAACGAGGAAGATAACGAGATAACGAACACCTGTAATGAGGATGATAACGAACACCTGTAACTCTCTCCCTCTATCCTGTCTCTTCTCACCCTCTACCCTGCATCACCCACCTCTCTCCCTCTACCCTGTGTCTACTCTCTCACCTTGTTCTTGTCCTGTATCTGCGTCTGCAGCTCCTTCACGTCGGCCCCCTGCGACGCTGACAGCTGCTTGCACTTGTGGTCGATCTCCTCCTCCATGTCGTCGATGTGCGCTCGCAGCTGCTTGTTCTCGCGCTCCAGCGCCAGCTTCTCCGTCTCCAGTCTCTCCCGCAGTCCCCACTCCGTCGCGTTCTCCCCCTGCAGTCTCTCCAGCTGTATAAAACAACGATTACTATATATGTTGTCTTGTAGCCGCTCCCGCAGTCCCCACTCCGTCGCGTTCTCCCCCTCCAGTCGCTCAAGCTGTAAGGCCACCCTTAAAAAATTGTTTGTTTCCCATTTACCTACTCGCCTCTCAGGGTACCGAGTAGGTAGGTAGCTAAAAAATCTTTTTTATTTTGTTTTGACAAGATGTGTGTATGTATATTGTATATTCTGTTTTGTGTATATGTTTTTGCGAAACGAAATCATTTTTGTTATAACGAAATAATAAAATGTGTCGAGTAGCGGCGTTTTGGCGAGTCGGTCGGTAAAGGGGAAACAAGCAATATTTTATCTTAGGCCTAACAGGGAATAATTTTCCCGGTATCGCATCGCAATTCGCGATGTATTTTCAGCCATTTGCTACGCATATTTTTTTATGAATCGCA